GATGCCTGCTAAGGAATCGGAAAATGAAATGCCGTGATGTCTGGCTTATAATCAAATGATCTGGCAAAGTGGGAGAGAGAGAGAGAGAGAGAGAGAGAGAGAGAGAGAGAGAGTGTGTGTGTGTGTTGACACTCAGTGAAGCTAGATGAGTAAACTGAATTTTTTTGTTTCATTGTTTTGACTTTTCTGTTGATTTGAAAATTTGAAAACTAAATATTAAAAAAATCCTACTAGTAACTAGTGATCTTGGGTTTGAATTCAAGTCTAATATGTAGTGAAAGCTCACGTGCTTTCCCTTAAATCTCATGGTGTATATTTTCACAACTAATTCATGTACAATGAAGACATTTTTCCAAATAATGATTATTGAAATCAAGCCATTAAAACTTAACAATTAAAACATAGATATTTTTCCCACCTGAGGGAATACTTCCTAATTTTATATTCGTAGGAACTTTAAGAAGGAGCCCTTATAGTTCTTTGGTATACATACTGCAAATGCTTCTGATGCAATTTTTTAAATTAATGAATGTTTCTGGAAAATACCCATTTGTCAACTTCTCTTGACTAAACACATAGATTTGCCTTTATTGGTTGATAAACAGGGAATCAAATAAAATTTCATTGCACCCATATTCATTTTTGAGAAAATACATATTTTAAAATGCTAAAAGCAGATATCTCAGGTTCTCTTGTGTAAACAGTGTTTATAACTGAAATTTGCGTATGATATGAAGTCTTTGCTCTAAAAAAACTCTTCAGTCTTCTGGCAAGCTATGGTTTCAGTAATACACAGGCCAAAATTAGAAACTTGATGTTAACCTTAGGCCTACCAGATAAAATACAGGATGCCCAGTTAAATTAAAATTCCAGATAATGAATAAATTTTCATGTAAGTCCCAAATATTGCTTGGGACATACTTATACTAAAGAAACTTGGGGAAATGTGTATATGTTGGTCAGTGTGCACAAAGTTTTAGTTTTTTAGTATGAGTAAGTTGTAAAGATCTAATGTACAGCATGGGGACTGCACTTAATAATGTACTGTGTACTTGAAATGTGCTGAGAGCGTCAGCACACACACACGGGAACTGTAAGAAATGATATAGTAGCTTGACTAGTAATCAGTTCATAATGTGTATGTATTTCAGAATGTCTCTGTATACCTTAAAAATATAATTTGGCTTTTAAACAAAGAGCTAGTATGACAAGGGCCCAGCTTTACAGCACACTCTGCCTGCTGTCCTCTTCTGCTTAGGAATCGGCCCATGTAACAGGCTAGATTGTTCTGGGCTGTGATGTAGGGAAGGTGAGAAGTGCAGCCTAAGGGCAGGATGTGCTGCTGCACTCATTTGTAGAGCTCATTAAGACCAGCAGGTGCAGCCTAGGGAACAAAGAAGGGCCTGATTATAACTTTGAGCACTGAGACCTTACACTCACCATTCTGTACTGCTAGGAAGGTAGTCTGGGCCTACTTACTTACTGCTCCCTGCCTCATTTTATCTGTGATAATTGGGGTAGTAAAATAGTTGCTCATATGGTTGTGAAATTTAAATGAGTTAATATATGTAAAGTAATGAACAGTGCCAAGTATATGTAAAACGATGCCTATATGTGTATTTGTTTCCCTGTTAATATTTTTCCTTGATATTTGTGATTATATCCCTTCAAAGTTCCCTATATGGCATGTTTCTCTTTTTTACTGGAGAATTTAGCAAATGTTTATCTTTTTTTTTTTTGGTCTTTTCAAAGAACTATCTCTTGAAATTAATTTTTCTTCTTTCTGAATTTATCTTTGGTAATCTCTTGCTCCTGTCCTGTGGTTTGTATTTTGTTCTTTTTTAGCATTTTGTGCTCAGTATTTAAATCATTTTATTTTTATGTTTAATGTAGCACTGCTTAAACACTGAAGTATTTTCTTTTGAGTTTTGCTTTATTTTAACCCCATAGAATTTGATATGCTATAATCTCATTATTACTAGTTTTAAAATACATCATTAATTTTTGCCCTGTCTGTATTCCCATGTCAATATAAACTTGCTAGGTAGTATCTCTTTCCTTAAAAAGAAATCCTTTACTCAACAGAGACATTATCATTTTTCTCCTCTCATTTGTAACAACATTCCTCAAGAGAATTTTTCATATTTATTGTTTCCAGTTCCTCATCTTCCATTGTCTTTTTATTGTAGTCAGCTACTTTCACTATCTTCAAACCACCCTTACCAAAATCATCAGTGACTTTCATCTTTCCAAATTAGGGGGGTCTTGTCTTTTTAGTTCTCTCCTTTTGTTATGAAGCAAAATTTTCCTCACTCAAACATCATGGAATGTTTATTCATGGACTTCTAAAGTATCATTTTTCTTAATTTCCCAACTTTTGGCATCATACCTTTTAACAGTCAAAGTGACCCAAGGTTATTTAGAGCTGGGCCTCTAGGTAAATGAATCTTTTTCTCTCCCTTCTTCCTCACATTCCCTCCCTCCCTCCCTCCTCCTTTCCTCTCCTCTCCTCTCCCTGTCCCTGTCCCTCTCCTCTGTCCTCTTTCCTCTCTGTCTCCCCCACCCCTACCATACTATACTAGCCCTGACTCTCTTGTGCATGTGTGCATGTGTGCATGCATAAATGTCCTGGGGATTGAACCCATGATCTCCCACATGATAGGCACGTGCTCTACCACTGAGCTACATACCCATCCCAGATCCTCACTCTTGATTATCCTCAACCTGTAGTTCTGTTTTTACCATCTCAATGATTGTTGCTGCCATTTTATCCACTTATTTAGCCCACAAACCTTGGGCTCTTCCTTATTCTCTTTCTCTCTCACCCAGTCACCCCATTCCATGTCACCTCTGCCTTCTGAATACTTCCCAAATCCCATCACTTCTTACCTCTATATTTGCACAGTAGGCCAAACCATCAACTTTAGCCTATTCCGCTATGATGGCATCCTAGTTAGTCTCTATGCTCCCCTTTCTACTTGCAGCCTCATGTTTGTTCCATCCAGGCAGGTCTTTTTAAAAATATAAACCACATAACATAATCCCCCCATCAGTACCTTCCTGTCACATTTAGTATAAACTCTAGCTCCTACAGAACACAGTGACCTGCTTTTGTCTCCTTAGAGTTTTCTCCCTTGCTTGCTATTTCATGCACACTGGTTCAATCTGATCCCCACTTAGGAAGGTCATGCTAGCTACTTCCTACTTGTCTTAATTTGTATTCTCTTACTGACACTGAATACCATAGACTGCGAATTTTACGAAGAGTAGAGGTTTATTTGCCTCATGGTTCTGGAGGCTGGCATCAGTGAAGGCCTGTTTGCTGCATTATAGCATGGCAGAGGACATCCTGTGGGGAGACAGAACCAGTGTGCTATTGCAGGTGTTTCTTCCTCTTCTTATAAAGCCACTACTAATGTTACCTTTGGGACTTCATCTTCATGATCTCATTTAACCCCCATTAGCTGTCACAGAACCAACCTCCAAACACATTAACATACGAATTTGGAGATTAAGTTTCCAGCATATGAATTTTGGGAGGACACATTCAATCCATAGCACTTCTCTTGGAATGCTCCTCCAGAGGGTTTTGCTTGGTTTGGTCCTAAACCTTATTAAGTACATCTGTAGATGTTAACTCCAACAGGACCTAAATGTCTAGTTAATATTTTGTGATTTTAGTTTCAGTTTGCTAGAAGTGTATTGTGTTGTTAACTTTCCAATTTTGGGTGCTTAATATTTTCCTGTTAAATATGACTTGTTTAGTTTGAAACTGTTATTTTTTGTTCCAATTTTTATTTCATATGTCCAAATGTAAAATAAAAAAAGGTCCACACACAGTTAGAATGAGACCATCTCAGATGAGACTGTGCAAAGCAATTCAGTGTGCACAATAATTTCTCCCCTTCAGTTTTGCGGCTTAATATGGTGGTGTGATCAACAAAATTGGATCACGTGCATGCTTGGTTGAAAAATTTCAACTATTTACAAAAACAGCATGAAGGACAGTTGCTAGTTTACAAATCAATTTACAGTAACTGTTCTGTTTTTTTACTCAGGAGGCACATGAAAGTGAAAAGTTTAGCTGTCCCATTTCATTCAAGTACCCCCAAATAAACACAAACAATAGTCTCCATAATGCATACTTTGGAGGATTGAGAGAGTAGACATTAATTAGTTATTAGTTAATTATTCAACTGTTTAGCCTAAGAAATGTGCTAATTAATAGTTTATGATTTTTTGTTTTCATTTGCTACAAGAATACAATATTGGTAAATTTCCAGTCTTGGGTGCTCAGTTTTTTTCTTGATAATTTCTAGTTTTATTATATTGTGATAAGAAAATGTGGTCAGTTTGGCTTGAGGATTTATTGAACTGTACTTTGTGAATACTTATACATTTCCTCCGGACCTGTGAATAGAACATTCTTTGTAGAGTTTAAGTACAGTAATCAAACCAAGGCTTCTGAGGGAATAATTTGGTAGTTCTGCATTTAAAATTTTTTGTGTATTTTATTTAACAAATTCTGGCAGAAATGTCTTAAGTCTCACACTGCAATAATGGTTTATGTTAAAATCTCCTCTGTTCTTTTTAAAGAAGTATTTGCTTTATGATTCCCTGTGACTCTAGTTTCCTTTAAGACTTTATACCGTTGTCTCATTTAATGCACTTTGCTTTGAACCCTCAATTTTCTAGTTTCAGTATTGCCACCCTATTCCTTTTTGTTTACACTTATCTAGCATTCTTTGCCAATCAGTTGACAATGTTTTGGGGTCTTTTAGTAATGTGCATATTGTTGCAACAGAATATACAAGTTGTCTTTTTTTTTTTTTTACTCAGTCTGATAATCTTTATTCATTGAGAAATGAACCATGTCTGATTTGATTCTTGTCATGTTACTTGATGCCTTTGAGGATTTATTTTTTTCTTCCCTCTTCTTTCCCTTTATTGTTATGATTCGGTTTTTGTCTTAGAAATTTTTTCCTTTAACTCAGATATGAATCAACACAGCTATGTTCACCTGCTTTTTGACGAAGGCTTCAAAAACGTATGGTGGAGCAAGGACAGCCCACTTCAACAAATGTTGCTGGGAAAACTGGATATCTGCATACAGGAAACTGAAACTAGATCCATGTCTTTCACCCTGTACAAGTAGTAAGTCAAAATAGATTAAAGTCCTTAAAATGTGACCTGAAAATTTGAAGCTAGTGCAGGGAATACATTGGAACTAATAGGCATAGGTAGAGACTTCATAAGTAGCATTCAAATGACTCAGTAACTAAGAGAAAGAAGTGACAAATAGGACTACATGCTAAACATACCTAGCCATTAAAAAAAAAAAATTTAAGATTGCACCTCACTCTTGTTAAAGTAGCTACCATTAAGGACACGGACAACAACAAATGTTGCTGAGGAACAGGGGGAAAAGAACCCTCACATGCCGCTGGTGGGAATGTAAATTAGTACAACCACTATGGAAAACAGTATGGAGACTCAAAATACTAAAAAGAGATCTGTCATACAATCCAGCAGTTCCACTCCTAGAGATATACCCAAAAGAATGTAAGTCAGGTTACAATACAGGCACCTGCATACCCATGTTTATTGCAGCACTATTCATAATAGCTAAGCTATGGAAACAGCCAAGATGCTTCACTACTAATGAATGGATTTAGAAAATGTGGTATTTATATGAAACAGAATTCTATACAACCACAGAGAAGAATGAAATTTTGTCATTTGCAGGTAAATGACTGGAGCTGGAGAACATCATCTGAAGTGAAGTTAATCAGGTTCAGAAAGCCAAAAGTGCATGTTTTCTCTCATGTGCAATTATAGACCTAATCCAAATATAGGAATGTTATGAAAAATAGGTCACGCTAAAGGGAGGTTACATACAAAAGGGGGAAGGTGGAAGAAAGAAGTTAGGCAGGTGAATATGGTTGATGTACTCTCTATACAAGAATGGATATAGAATTTTAAAACCTGTTGAAAGCACCATAGGACGGGGACTAAGGTAGAAAGGAGAAAAATAGAGAAGATGAATCAATTCGGTTTATAATACATATATACATGGGGATGTCACAAAGAAACTCTCTGTGTAGGTATCTTAGGCAAATAAAAGTGTCATTTTCTTTCTTTTAAAAAATTGGAGAACAGGCTGGTGGAACAGGTTCTGCCTGGAGGTTTGATACGAGTGGAAGTGGGGAAGAGGTGGGGAAAGGGCATGGAAGGGTGAATATAATACAAATACTGTGTACATGTGTATGTAAATGGAAAAAATGATACCTGTTGAATCTGTTCCAGGAATGGGAAGATGGAGGGTTAGAAGGAGAATGGTCGCAGGGTTTGAATTCAAGTATGATATGTTTGATATTTCGTAAGAACTTTGTAAATACCACAGTGTACCCCTACCCAGCACAACAACAACAAAAAATAGATAACCTTAAAAAGAAAAAAAAATTTTCTCTTAGAAATTCTGCATCTCATTTTTCTCTAATAGTGGTCATGTAATGTTCTTCACTTGATTATGAAAAATTATCAAACATGTCAATGCTCTCAATTGAACAGGAAAGAGGCTCAGAAATAGACCTTGAAAATATTACTGGTAAGTTTGCTTCCATGGTGGCTAGGAAAGAAAAGCTATAAAAAAATTGTGCTTTGAGTACACATAAAATATTTAAAATAGGTGTAAAATAACACCAATTTTTCCATTTTCAATACTTTGTAACTATTTTAGTGTTCTCAAAAAATAACCATTAAATAAAAGCCCACACAAGAGTATACATGTAGGGACACATAATTCTTCTGCCTCAGGCTGCAATATGCTTCCTGTAGCACTGGTTTGTATTTAAAACTCAGATATCTTAAAGTATCATGGAATTTATGCATTGAAATTGGATAAAATATTGCATTGACCAGTATTTGCTTTGAATTACTGAGGTTTTTCGTGCCCCCTTCAATTCTCTGTCTGAGGTGAGGACCTTGCTTGCCTTACTCTACTTTCTACCTAGTTTATAAGAGTTTCATTGGTTCATGCCCTCTGGAATTCTGACCCTGACTTGCATTCCTAGGACAAACTCTTGTCCTGTTTTTAAAAGATACTACTTTTGTTTTCATCACTTTATAGAGTGCAGTTTATTAATATTTTACATCTTTTACATCTGTATCCATTGATGGTATTTACTTATTAAGTCTTAGAGAACACTTTTGTCTGGGTCAGGTCCCATAGAATGAGTTATGTGGCTTCCTGCATTTATCTGTGCTCTAAAAATGAACTACAAAATTATCTATGTTTGTACCATCGTGCAGAGTAGAGGGAAACTGCCATTTCAGTTCCTATTACTCAGATTTTCCTTATCTTCTGGAGCCAACTTTAAAAATTTATATTCTCCTGTAAAAATTGCCACTTTTATTTAGACTTTCAAATTTATTAAAAGATGAATTATTTTCTTATAATTTAAAATTTGCCTGGTTCTGATTTGATGCTCTTAGTGTTAGTTTTTTTCTGCTTATTACCTTTTGGTATTGTTTCATAACTTTTTGCATTTTGAGTTGAAGGCTAAGTTTACTTCTCTTATATCGTTTAATATTCAGAGCATTCAAATTTGCTCTGAATCATTTGAACTTTTCATTTTGATTGCTTCTTTGATTTAATGTCATTTTAACGTACCTTTTTATGCAGGGTGAAAGACAATTTCAGTCTTCTACATATGGATATCCAGTTTTCCCATCAGCATTTGTTGAAGAGGCTGTCTTTTTTTTTTCTATCGTGTGTGTTGGGCTCCTTTGTTGAAGATCAGTTGGCTATATATCTGGATCTTCTTTTCTGATCCATTGGTCTTCCTGCCTGTTTTTGTGCCAATACCATGCTGTTTTTATTGTTATGGGTCTGTAATATTGTATGAAGTATTGTAATGTCTCCAGCATTGGACTTTTTGCTAAGGATTGCTTTGGCTATTTGAGGTCTTTTATGTTTCCATATGTATTTCATGATTGATTTTTCCATTTCTGTGCAGAATGTTACTGGAATTTTTATAGGAATTGCATTGAACATGTGGATTGCTTTTGGTAGTCTGGGCATTTTCCCAATGTTGCTTCTACCAATCCAGAAGCGATGGAAGGTCTTTCCATCTTCTGATGTCTATTTTGATTTCTCTCTTTAGTGTTTTATAGTTTTCATTATAAAGGTCTTTGCTTTCTTTTGTTAAATTTATTTCAGGGTACTTTATTGTTTTTGAGGATATTGTAAATGGGATTGTTTCCCTGATTTCTTCCTCAGTCTATGCATTGTTGGTATATAGAAAACCTACTGGTTTCTGTATGTTAATTTTGTATCCTGTTACTTTGCCAAAAGAGTTTATGATTTCTAGTAGTGTTTTTGGGGTCTCTTAGAAATAGGATCGTGTCATTTGCAAATAGGGATAATTTGACTTCTTCCTTCCCTATTTTAATCCCTTTTATTTCTTGCTCTTGTCTTGTTGCTCTGGCTAGGAATTCCAGAATTACATTGAATAGGAGTGGAGAAAGTGGACAGCCCTATCTTATTCCTGACTTTAAGGGGAATGGTTTCAGATTTAGTATGGTGTTGGCTCTAGGTTTGTCATACATAGCCTTTTATTGTGTTGAGTAACATTGCTTCTATTCCTAATTTCTTCAGAGCTTTTATCATGAAAAGGTGTTGGATTTTGTCATAGGCTTTTCCCATGTCTATTCAGAGGATCATGTGGTTTTTGTCCTTGCTTCTGTTTATATGCTGTATTACATTTATAGATTTATGTATGTTGAACCATCCTTGCATCGCTGGAATGAAACCAACTTGGTCATGGTGTATGATCTTTTTGATGTGTTGTTGAATCCTGTTTGCCAGTATTTTGCTGAGAATCTTTGCATCTGTATTCATTAAAGATACTGGTTTATAATTCTCTTTTCTGGTTATGTCTTTATTTGGTTTTGGAATGAGTACAATACTGGCTTCATAGAATCAGTTTGGTAGTGTTCCTTCCCTTTCTATTTCCTGGAAAAGTTTGAGGAGTATTGGTGTTAGTTCTTCTTTAAAGGTTTGGTAAAATTTGCTGTGAACCATCAGGTCCTGGGCTCTTCTTTGTAGGGAGAGTCTTTATTGTTGCTTCAATTTCATTGTGTGTGATAGGACTATTTCAGAGTTTACTATCTTTTTGATTCAATTTTGGTTAGTTAGATGCATCTAGGAATGTATCCATTTCATCTGTATTTTCCAGTTTATTTGAATATAAATTTTCAACGTATTCTCTAATGATTCTTTCGATTTCATTGGTATTTATGGTTATGTCCCCTTTTTCATCTCTGATTTTATTAATTTGGGTCTTCTCCCTCTCTGTTTTGTCATGTTGGCTAAAGGTTTGTTGATCTTGTTAATCTTTTCAAAGAACCAACTTTTTGTTTCATTGATTCTTTGTATAGTTTGTTTGGTTTTGATCTCATTTATCTCTGCCCTGATCTTTATTATTTCTCTCCATCTGCTGGTTTTGGATTTGGTTTGTTCTTGTTTTTCTAGGAGCTTAAGATGCATCATTAGATTTGTTTATTTGAGAGATCTCTGTTTTTTAAATGTTGACACTTGCAAGTATAAACGTTCCCCTTAGCACAGCTTTTGCTTTGTCCCACAGATTCTGGTAGGTTGTATTTTCATTTTCATTGTATTCTAGGAACTTTTTGATTTCTTTCCTTATTACTTCGGTTTCCCATTGGTTTTTCAGCAGTGTGTTGTTCTGTCTCCATGTGTTTGAATATTTTAAAGGGTTTCTTTTGTTGTTGAGGTCTAGTTTTATTCCATTGTAGTCTGATATGATGCAGGGGTTATTTTCATTTTGTTGAATTTGTTGAGACTTGCTTTGTGTCCTGAAATACCTATTTTGGACAAAGTCCCATGACCATCAGAAAAGAATGTGTATTGCCTAATTGTTGGGTGAAATACTCTGTAGACATCAACAATGTCTATTTGGTCTAATGTATGGAGTTTCTCTGAAGTTTATTTGTTGATCTTTTGTCTTGATGACCTATCTATTGGTGACAATGGAGTATTCATGTCTCCCACTATCACTGTGTTAGCATCTATCTGTGTTATTAGGGCCATTAGAGTTTTTTTTTTTTTAATGTGGTTGTGTGCTTCTGTG